AGGATAGCTCAAATTATCAACAAGATTCACAGATTCGCGATTTCACTGAATTCGTCGATCAAAAGGCTATGTGTCAAGCATTACTCATGGGGGGAGGATAGCTCGAATTAACAGCAAGATCCACAGATTCGCGATTTCACTGAATTCGTTACTAACGTTACTTACTTTTGATTGAATCAAAAGGCTATAAAAGTGCCAAGGGAGGTGGTAGGATGGCTTGCTTATTCACTGATTTCGAATCATCGATCATAAAATGTAAAGATCGATAAATATAGCTGTATGAGCTGGCCAAATATATTACTGATGGGAAAGGGGGATAATTGTCAAAACATTTCACTGCAAATTCGTGATTCCATTTTCAGAATCGATTAAAATATTTTCATACGCTACTTCATCCGAAAAAAACAKTATCAAAGATTAAGCTAATCGTTTGAAATCGTTATCCAAAAAAACACTTCCCTAAATTAAAGGGCCTCAAGAGTGTACGTGTAGTTAATCTCACATTATATTCACAGTCTCACGATATGGAGTAATCTAGGAAGTTACTTAATATMATGAATCATGATGTGTCACGCTGTAGAAGTGTCACTCCCAGCGATGCAGGAATATTTCAAAAGTATCCACTGAATTTACTGATACCAATTTCAATCAATCATAACTTGTGCAGTTGTGTGCAAGGAAGTCTCTAAATATAATGAATGATTTATGCGTCCGGTTGACAAAGTGTCACTCCCAACGATGCAGGAATATGCAAAGGGTATCCACAGAATCCATAGATACCAATTTCAATCGATCAGAATTGATTCAGACGTCAGAATWTTGTTAAGGTGGCGCTGTATGTCAATAAAGAGGCACTTGTCCAGTCGTGGTAGAAAATATGGCGCGGTTAATATAAAGCTACTAGTCGTGWTAATTAAACACTGATGTGTGAGATAGCGCGTTGTGTTGACTCAACTTGTCCATGTTTTTGCTATTGTAATTCAAGTCAAGTTAACACGTTGACGTAGGTTTTTTAAACCGCATTTTCTTATGTACCCTATTCCCAGAGTTTTTCTCTTTTTCTTMCTTCSGTATTTTTCTAWTTTTTTCAATTTGTCATGGGCCCAGGGTAATTCTTATGCGTTTACCCAAAAATGACCATAGTTTTTTAGTCTCACTTGCAAGTGTAAAGTTAGAAGTTTAAAGTCACGGGTATGTCTGTGACTCTGTTTATTTATTGAAGATTTTTATTATTATTATTATTATTATTATTATTATTATTATTATTATTATTATTATTATTATTATTATTATTATTCCTTTGCAAATATCCGGGTACGGTTATCGTTTTCGTGGATTTCGTGTAAAACACATGAAAAAATCTGCGTTTTTTTGAAATTTCCAGATTCGTGCATCTTTGAAATATCTTATTCAAAAGGTTCAAGTTTTGTGCTTGCTGTTATTTTATAATTCTTGCCTCCTAGAGAGGGGTCTTCTGGAGGAGCGCGCACTTTAAAATGGCTGGTTTAAAATGGTTCTAATCCTAGTATTAGAAGTGAATGTCTGCTATGCTTTTAGCTGTGCTTTTTTTAAACGTTTTAAGGAGAAATTGCTAATTTCGGCTACAATCATCACTGATATAGATGTTGTGGAAAGATRTAGTGCTTATTCAGGGCGAAAACACACTTCAATAACGTCCCCGGAATAACCTCCTTTCTAAGCACTTAATATATCTTTAAACTATTTCTTTTTCATGTATTTCCGATGTTTCCTAGTGCTACGCGGTCTACACATTCGTATCTGAACAATCATCACTGTAAAGCTCACTGAAGTGTTCAGAGAAATTACTAAATAAAATAACGATTTTTTATGCTTTAATTCATCAACTCTCCCTTTCTTAATGTAGTCATTGTTACCCAATTTAATYTCAAATCTTTTTTGATTGATAGATAAAAGACTATATTTAGACAATTCTAAAAATCAATCACTTTATATTTGYTTTGTATTGTACTTTGAGAGAAATAAGTTTAAAACGGATGCAACATCTTTGTATTGAAAAGACATTTCTGAATTATTGGGTAAAACAAACTTAAAGTGGCCCAGACTCTTATYGATATACAATACAGGCCATCTTACATRTGTACATTGTACAAAATTAACTAAGAGGCAGTAAAAAACATATTACCTAAAGATTGGTCAGGGAAAACGTCTGAGATTTCCTTATAGCGTGTCCAAGGAATGTATGAAATATACTATTCTTTCAGTCTTTTTGACGTTTTCGGACGTTTTTAGCTATGAAAATGCGTGTCTTCAAATTGAAATTCTATTCTTTCCAAAAAATATAGAGTCATAATTTAAGTAAACAAAGTAACAAAAATAATAAAGTTGAGAAAAAGTGGACAAAATCAATATAACAGATATGACTGGTTTATAAAAAAAAACTGAATGAATAAATTAAGTAAATAAATAAATAMAAATAGCTTTATCAAAACCTWAATATATATCACAAAATTCAGCATTTTGGTCGCATCGAGAAGCGCAAATATTGTTAAAAAAATGTCGAGAAAAGTTATTTTTCCTTTCTTTAATTTTTTTCAAATTTTCCCTAGAGTTTGATGGATACTAAAACACAAAACAATTAGAACACTCGACCTCGTGGTCTGATTGTTGAATGTAAACAGGAAAAGACAGTAAGACGTTCTTGTAGTTGTTACAAGAATTGTTCTTTTGAGAAGACGACGCATGGATTGCTCAAAAGGGTAGTCTTTTTTTTCACACGAGTACTAAAGGAGGTCAGATCAAACAGATYGGCAAAAATCAAAAACACTTTACCTAGAAATGACCTCCTGGTTAGACCTCCTTGAATTAGAACAAAAAACAACAAAGCAAATTTTAACACGATAAGAGACATTTTTTCTTGAAAAAGATCGATTATTTTCGAAAGTGAGCTTCACGATCATTTAAAAAATATAGTGCTTTCTCTGTACATTATCAAAAAGCAATATTGTTATTTCTGTTGTTATAAGGCATATTGGATTTATTATTGTTGTTACTGAGCTATTGTTATTGCCAGTTATTTCTGTTAATTATAAAATCAAGATAACAATAATTTAACAATAATTTCTGTCAATTATTGCTATTCCTATTTCTCACTTATTTATTATTATTACAAATTATTACAATTTGTTTACAGATTGTTATCATACCATTTGTTATTTGTTATTGTTATTTGTTATTGTTATTTGTTATATATTATTAAACGTCAGTTTATATAATTCAGTGTTAGAAGAGTAATTTCCATAAGTCCGTGAAACAAAGTGTGAAAACCAAAATTCAATAATCAAAATATATTTCACRGGTTTAGASTGATTTTCTTCAATCTGTGAAATACACTGAGAGRAYCTCGCGCATCCGAGTRCCTTCGCGTCATTTTTCTAAATCAACCAATCAGAAAGCAAATATCAACGACAGACGGCATTTTTAAGRAAAACAAGCGACCGCAAAGGTTCCTGGATGCACGTTGTCATGGTACCCTTTGCCTTGGTTCATCATCATCATTTTYCCAATATTTAKTTGTAACCATAAGTTGTAAACAAGTCTGTAATGTTTATGGCCTTTTTATTACCTATTTTGCTCGCATACCATTTATTATCTTTTCGGTTTATCGCACTTTATAATATTTTCAACACATTATTGTTATTATTAATACAATTCATTATTGTGGTATYAAATTATCATTATGATTATCACGTTATTTATGTCATATCCTCTTTATACCGTTACTTCAACTTCTTTACAATCAACTTACAATGAAAAAAACGAGCAAACCTGTTAAAATAATCAAAGACTATTATTCAAGTATCTGTCAGTAGCGATCTAACCATCTAAAACCCATCATCACAGAATCCTTCGATGTCGTTGCTCAAATTCTAACAGTTTTTATCAAATTCCAAAGATTCGATAGCCAAAATTAYCAATAAAAGGAACCAGGAAACGAAATTTAGCATTCTTTCTTTGAAATCATCCTTTTCTAAAAACCTTTAATTACTCCACATATTGACTAAAAAAAGCTTAGATTAATCCCAATCTTTAGTTGATAAGTCTGGCGCACTGAGTAATCGAAGTCATTTAGTCGTCTTGGCGGTGTTTCTTGATGTTAAAGCGTTGTGACATCACTGWACTTTGAAGATACAGCGATTAGCTAAGAGATAAACGATTTTAAACGCGATCACTGTAAGACAATTTCCGATATTTTTTTCATCGATGTCTGCTGTAATGCATTTATCATTGGCAATRCAATCTGTGTGGTAATCTACCAAGCGCTCGATAGTTTGAATGATTCTACAACGATTGGTGGCTATAAATTTACTAACTAAATATTTGACCTTTTTTGCATCTTAATACTTTGCTGTTTGGTTCTTGTAGTTTCAGTGTTTTTCTTTGGTTTGAGCATCCTCGGGAACCCGACAGATGGTGGGTTCCCGAGGATGTTGATAAAATTCAGAGACAATAGCGTCGGAACCGATTTTCGATATAAATCGAAATTTAGTTTACTGTGAACATTCCAGGAATTTTGATTTATATTCAATCTTATAATTTCTTTAAAGAATTCTCCAAAATTAGATTTTAGATATCAAAATGCAGTGGAAAAAAATTTCCAACCCACGGCAACCCCCACCCTCCCCAGCCTGCTGTATCCAACCCAGTATTTAAAAAAATAATGTAATAAATAATATTGTTTATTTATTTATGAGTAAAAAGCTCCTAAAAAGTAATTTTCATTTTCGAAATTATTCTCTCCTTTTTAGCGTCTTCTCACTTTCATTTTTGTTTTCTATGCCACTTCAGATATTATCAAATCCAGGAAAACCGCTTGTTATCTATTGGCATCATCGACGGGCTGTAAATAATATCCTCGTTTGTTATGGCACAGTTTTGAGTTTACTCACAATTAAGTTTTCTTTATCAGTGGTACTGACCGTACCAAGATAAGSGGCCAGGGTTAATCACGTCGTCTCCCAGTCAGATTTTATGATATTTTAGTGAAAAGAGGACATTGAATAGCTGTGAAAGTATTTATGCTGTCTCATCCAATACTCCACTTTCGTAATCTTATTTGTGCAGCCTTAACCTCGAAAGCATGTAATATATTCTTTTATTCAACGGAGAATCTATTGTAATGCAAACACTCTGTGTACAAAGAAGACAATAAAACTTTATGCTTGATTGAAGCTAAGCTTGCACACAAGAGAATTCGAAACTGGAGTATTCCTAGTTCTGATGCACACGGGTAGCCTTTCACGGTTTTGCAAGATCTTATCCAATAGTTTACTAGCTATTAGTGTTGAACAAAAGAAAACAGTAAGAACGAGGAAACAGTGAGCATTGTTTTATTCCTCCAATCACAAGAAACCTTACAAAATCGTGAAGGATGACAGGAAAATGTAACTTTAGTTCCAAAGATATTGCAACTTTTTTAAGATTCTTTAGATTCATGTACGTGATCACGAAAAGACTTTGTAATACGAGTCAAAGTGATCACGTTCTGATCGGGCTTTTTTAGACCTGCAATGAGTCTGTTCAATGTAAGCGTGCTTAAATCAACATTTGTCGGCAATTATAAAACTTGCACTAAGGTTTTTTTTAATCTGACGTTCTCATCCCCTACACCTTTCTTCAAAGGTTTTTCTTACGGAATGCATACATTTTTTCATTGGGATAGAAGGTACTACTGTATAATGAGCATCCATATATTTTTTCCTGTTACCGCAATACCTATCTATCAGTGTGCTTTATCTTTTGTTTTAGTTCAAGAAATTACGATAATTGTAAAATTATCTTTAAGTGTTCACCAACAACGGTTGGTCCTTTGGTCAGCTGATTTTAAGCGGCAAAATTTGAAACGCTTCGTAAAAAACAGGGCTGACTTCTATCAAAATAAGGAGGAGGTAAAGGGAATCGTAGACGATAGCTGTAGAAATATCTCTGTAAATTTCTAGATTTCCATGAGTTTCAAATAACATGGAAATCAATCTTATTTTCCAGTACCGCTCCTTCGAATTCCTAATAAGATTCCATTTCTTCTTTGCTCTGACACTAATAGTCACTTGGTTGTATATTGACGTCTTGATGAAACCCGTAGGATTTACAACTTGTTGTGTTGTTCTCTCCCTTGCCACGAGGGTTTTTCTCCGGGTCCTCCGGTTTTCCTCCCTCAGTAAAAATCAACATGTGAGGAGTGTTGTGTGCTAAAAATACTTAATGTAGAGGTAGTGAGTGTGAGTTGGGAGGGCCACGAGTTTATCAGTCTTTGACTGTAATGTGCTACCCTCGTAAAATAAAGTTATTTAAATTTAAATTCGTTCTTTTAACTCAAATATACTAGTTCTAGTGATGTTTATTTTTCCTGTAGAAATTCTATAGACAGAACATTTTGATTGACACAAACTGGACACTATGTTCCACAATTATTA